TCCGAACGAACGCGACAAACAGCTCGAGATCGGGACCGGATCCTACGTGGGAAAGTCAACGAAACAGAAGACAGTCAATGCACGACGACGATGAGATCGACGATGAGGAATTTTGGGGACCACCCGCCTGGCTGCGGTGGCAATACACCTTGAAAAGGAACATCCGGGCCATGACTATCTGGCAATGGATCATCTTCATTGCGTTGTCCCTGGTGCTCTTCAGGTTCTTGAGACCAGTTCATAACGCTGCCAGCGAAAGGGTGTCGCGCCAGCACGAATTGCCCAAAACTATCTTGAGTGAGGAGCCGTCCGATGGCATTGACTGGAGCCGTTTTGCATATACCCAATATGTCACAGATATGGAATATTTGTGCAACAGTCTCATGATGTTCGAGTCTTTACATAGGTTGGGTAGCAAAGCTGATCGACTTCTACTCTACCCTGCCCAATGGGAGCTTTCTCCTAAGAAGCCCACATATATAAGCAAGTTCTTGCGAAAGGCTCAGGTCGACTACAAAGTGCACATTGTCCCGATTCGAGCGCTGCACTTCGACGACGGAGAGGGCACATGGGCAGAGAGCTTCACAAAGCTGCTGGCATTTAGACAGACCCAGTATGAGCGGGTCTTGAGTTTAGACTCTGACGGCACTATTCTGAAGGTACCCTTTTCTATCACTCGCAATAATTGAGCACCAGCTGAATATTCCCCTGCAGCCGCTTGACGAGCTCTTTTTGTTACCATCAACGCCTGTGGCGGTACCAGAGGCATACTGGATAAGCAAGGAAAGTGTGTCCTCTGCCATCATGCTAATTGAGCCTTCAATGGATGAATTTAAGCGTGTCATGGCAGCCATGAAGAACAGAGTTTCAGACGAATTTGACATGGACTTGGTCAATGATCTCTATGCAGGATCTGCTACTATCCTTCCCAAGGAGAACTGGGTAGTGACCGGAGAATTCAGGCGAAAGCAACATGATTCCTATTTGCCAGCAGGTGAAACATGGGACGCAGAGAAAGTCATGAACACGACAAAATATGTCCACTTTTCCGACTGGCCATTTCCCAAACCCTGGTTCCAAGCAGACTACGAGATGAAGGCAGCGACGAAGCCAAAATGCGTTGAACTGCCAGATGGAAAGCAAGACTGCAAGGACCGCAACGCATGGGTGTGGCTTTATAAAGACTTTCAAAAGCGCCGCGAGGTATGTTGCCTGCCCCGAAAAGGCCAATTGACACGCATGCTAACAGGTTGTGACATTAGGACATTTGTGGAATGCAATTCACAAATTATCTGACAGATGTGGACATGGAGCATATGGAGATCTTTTGAGAGAACACAAAGCTGCGCTCCAGAGCATGCACTGTATATATACCTAAATGTTTACTTGCGTTCTCTGATCTCCTCTATGCCCTCACGAAGTGTTCCAGTCGTATGAGGCCGCAAATCAAGGGAGGCCTACGAACAGTCTTAGGAGCTTAGAGCAATTTGGAGTACCAAGGCCCATAATTGGATCCCAATTGCATATCGTGTTAGCACTAGATCAAGCCCACAGGACCACAATCTTGTAGTGGAAGCCGTGACCTGCTTATCGTACCGTAGTTGTTGGGCGGCCTCGGCATTGGTAAGGGTGTCATAACAGATGGAGCATACTCCGAGCTGCATCCTGATAACAGATGAAAAGCAATCGCCCAATGGCTACAAAACTTTTGAATACAATGTTCCTGCATACAAGCAGGCCGATCTCGTATTTGCTTAAGCGAGATGATGCTCACGCCGCAAGCCAAGCGCCATTGGCCAGTAGATTGCTCGCAAGCTATCACGAGAAGATAGCATCAGTAGAGCGGGGTCATCGGCACAGGCGGAAACGTAAAGTGACTTTCATCCAGCCACTTCAATTTCACTCTTTGAAATACCAGGTCACCGACACCATTTGGTGTCAACTGCGCAAACAGGACACTACCAACTGCTCAACTCTACAGTGACGAAAGTCTGAAGGTCCCCAACATAGGGCAAGTAAGCTAATTTAATCTCGTTGAGCCGAACCGTCAGCATCGAACTGGCGCGCCGCCACTTCCAACTCATCTCCACAAACTTCATGGGGTTGGTCACTCTTTTCCAGGTTATCTTGCCACTCTTGCCTTGATGAAGAGATCCAACAGAATGGCTGGAAAAGAAAGGTAGGTCGAGAGCAAAAGATGCATGAGAGAGCGTAGCAATGCATACATGTGCATAAGACTTTATTATACGGCATTGCGTGGCCTTATGCAAGATGTAGGAGAATTACAAATTGGCTCTGAACTCTCCACAGTTCAAGTGCCGGCCCCCGATCTCTCCAGCCTGACCGTTACGCATCCCGTCTCAGTAGAGGCCAACACTGCCAGGTTTAAGTCTTTTTACATCATTGCCAAGACTGAAGATCATGCCCTGTTCCTTGTTTGGGCGGAGCGGTAAGAATCATCTCGACGGGTGTGTTCCTTTTCTTGCGGTCTTGAGCCGCTTTCTTCTCTTTCTGTGAGAGTCTTGGAAGTTTTGGTGTTCGCTCGTTACATCGCAAAATGTATTATTATCCTAATATTCGGCATGCATCGCTGTTAGCTGCGTGTAGTTGGGCTTCACTCGCTCAAGCCCAGAGTACTGTTACTGTCACTCCTGCCGCAAAGGCAACGGCAGCTTCTGGCATTTCACAGGAATTGGACCGGTCCTTTGCAGGAATGGGAATAGAGCCTTCCAACCTGTTTTCATTCACCGGCAGAGAGACACCTAATCAGTTGTCCATCAACTTGCTTCAAAATCTGGCTGACTACTCTGGCGCACCCCCTCATCTGCGTATCGGTGGTAACACTGGAGATTATATGATATACAACATAACCTTCCAGGAATACACTGTCGAAGCAAACGAGTACGCGGTTAACAATGGTGGTGAGTCAGGCAATGGCTTCATCATTGGCCCGAAATATCTCGCAGCATTGGACCGTTTCCCCACAGACACGCCCATCACTTATGGTCTGAACTTCGGGTACACTGGAGATGACTATCTTGACGTCGTCGTCGCGATAGCGCAAGGCGTGTTGGATGAACTCAACAACACCAAGGTCTATTCTTTTGAGATTGGAAATGAGCCTGATCTCTACCTCGAGAGCTGGAATCTGCTGCGAACCGGCACTTGGGACGGAACGACCTACACCCAGCAGTTCTTGGAAAGAGCTGCGGCAGTTTATGAGCAAGTGCTGAAGCCGCATGGCATATCATCAACATTTTTCGAGACTGCTCAGACTGCTTCAACAATTGGCACTAGCTTCACAATTGATGACCTCAACTCCGATGGTATCACTGCCTCTACGAATGGCAGCAAGTACATCGCTTCGTGGAACCAGCATGACTACTTCTACTTCATCGACGTATCAACTGAGGTACTTACTCTGGACTACATGATGGACCTGGATAACACTGATAGCCAGTTCAAATACTGGGCATCAGAAATCGCAACAGCTCTCAAGACCGGCTTGCCCTACAATCTCCGGGAGATGCAGGACGTTGGCCCGACTGGAGCACAGGGCGTTAGTAATACCTTTGGTGCCGCATTGTGGCAACTTAACTTCTTTTGCTACGCCGCGACCCTCAACATCTCAAGTGTACAAATGCATATGACGGACAACTCCTACGCTGCCCCTTGGCAGCCGACCAACATTACTTCGCCATACGTGCCTCACGTCCGATCTAACTACTACGCCTGGGCGGCGTTTACACAGCTTATTGGCTCTGGAAACGGGACTACGCAAATCTCTGCTCTCGACTTGTCGACCAGCATGTCTTATGTTCGCGCCTACGCTTCGTACGCGAAGGGAAGCCTTGACGCAGTCATTGTGGTCAACTCGAATCAAGTCAACGCTTCCTCGACAGACAAGGCAAACTTGACAGTTTCTGTAGACCTTTCAGGATACTCCGGTCAGACTCTTTACCTTTCGTATCTGACTGCTGACGGTGCGGATTCGCAATTCAACACTACCTGGAACGGCATCAGCTACGAACAAAACGATCTCGGCACCCCAAGTAACATAGGTCCAAGCGCCTCAACGGTCAAGATCGGCAGTAACGGTATTGCTTCTATTCCCGTGCGAGACAGTCAGGCTGTTATTGCGAGAATCGGTGCTGCAATCGGCTCCACCGACGCTTCTGTACCCAGCAGTACCAGTAGCTCTGGAAGCAGCAGCAGCATTGCTATCAGCAATGCCTCGGCCTCAACAACAAAGAAGTCCGGCGCCGGAAAGATCTCTGCATCCATCCTGATGGCCCTTCTGGCACTTGTGCCCAGCCTTATGTAGGCGTTCTCTTCCTAGATGAGGTGGTTTTTGTTTTGTTTGATACCTAAACTCCCTCGCCTGTAGATCAGAGCGACACGTACGTTGAATTTATTGGCATTTTGAGTCCAATAACCTGTATATAATGTAGTGAACACGTACATAATGAACAAATATAATGCTAATACGGACAACAAATCTTGACCAGTCCTGCCTGGTGACTATTCCTGTCTCTTGAAACACATCATCAGCGCTCGAGTCACTACCGAGTCTAGCATGACAGGTTGACAGCTATGCCATTGCGTGCCTGGTCTTGCTCGTTGCTTCGCAATGCACATCCTCCTGAAAATCAGCATGAGACCCTGTTCCAATGAAACGCTGATGTTCTGTTGAAAGATGATCCATTGTTTGCGAAGATGATTCAAAATGAGAGTACGGAAACACACGCTGCCGGCCGCGTAATATGACAAACCGTCTGACTCGTAGTTAGTAACAAAATACTTCTTGCGATGCGAGACATCAGTGGGGCTTTGACTGCGTCACTTCATCTAATAATCTTGAGATGATCCAATCACCGCTCCACCGATGGTTTCTCTACAACTGAACAAAATTGTTGCAATAAGTGCGAGAACATCTGCATACGTATGTATATAGTCAGAAGCTGTGAAAGCTTATAATCTCGCATGGCCAAAAGAAGACCTCTCCCCTCCCAGAATCGAACTAGGGACCTTCCGATGGCATACACCAGAGCTTCTGTTGAGACAGAAACCGACTTCAATTACAGTCGGACGCGATAACCAACTACACCAAGGGGAGGCACCTATGTAATATGCGGTTATGTATCGGTATATAAATACTCATCACAATCCTGGAGGGGGCGAGCTCAGCGTGGAGTGGAAAACATTTTGCACAAGCCTTAATAGGAGAAAACCGACATCGATATTTTTTATCGATATTCATCATTTTATTGACAGTTTTATCTACAAGCCGACTCGACGAGTCGGACTATCCAACTCCCGTCGATTTTAGTTGAGGGAAAGGGTGCCGCCCGACTGTCCTAGCAACGCTATCGCTATAGTCATACCAGCGTCGTCCCTAAAGGGACTAATTGCTGCTACAGCAGCGCAAAGAAGAGCTAGGAGTACTAGATAAGGCAATGAAAGGCTGATTTAGCCTATCCGCTCTCTTAATCTAAATAATAATATTGTTTTTGCTAAAGACATAATGAAACGTCTTATTAAAAAAGCAGTAAACGCTTAGAATAGCAAACTTAACAAATTGCTTAAGCAACTTAAAACTCAGAATAAGGTCTTTAAGACTTAGAACAAAATCTTTCATTAAGAGATTACTATTATAATAGCGTTACTAGACGTTATTATAAAAAAACTCAATATAGCTAAAACGAAGCTCGACATTATAAAAATAAGATTCAAATATACGCTTATAGGGATTAAGAAGCTTAAAAAGGAACTTAAACGTATATTTACAGAAATTAAAGAGATTAAAAAGGAATTTAAAACAATAAATACTAAATTAGCAGATTTAAAAGCTGATATTAAAATCCTTAATATAAAAATTAGAATTATTAGCTTTAGCGTTAATAAAGGAAGAACAGTCCTTTCGACCTTTAAATAATTAAGCTTATTGCCTTTAGCTAACCTTAATATAGTAGTATTATTATTAATCTTATATACTTTTATAGCATTAAGATTAGTTAATCCATTATTGTTAGCTATTTAACCTTTTATAAATAAGAGAACGCTATTAACTTTGCTAACTTTTTTAAAAAAGCTATAATAACTTCTAAATATTATAATTAATATTAATTAAATGCTAATTAAATAATAAAAGCTAGCTATAAATAGTAAAGCTATAGCGGAAAAAATTAAAAAAGTAATAGCATTCTAGCTATTAGTTTATATAGTTACTATTAAAAGAATTCAAATAAGAGCGAGATTTATAAAGGTTATTATTTAAAATAAAAAAGATATAATATAATTACAATTAAATAATAAATAGGTTTATTAAATATTTAATATAGCCTAAATTTATAAAGAGAATTAATTCCTAATTAAAGTTAATAATACATTTAGAGCAGTAGTCTTAATGCTAAGCATTAGAATAATTTATTTAGAATTCTTAGCAGAATTTATAGCTAAAAATAAGTTTATAAACGCTATTAAAGCATTTTAGCTATTTAAAAAGGAGAAATTAAAAGAATCTATAGTAGTATACCTAGCTATAGCCTAAAATGCTTAATAAGCCTTTACTAAATAATAAGTCAAGATTAATAGAAATATAGCATAAATTAGCAAATATAAAAAGCATTAACGCTTTTAGAAATACTATAACTATAACAAATATAGCTATTATTAAGCTAGATACAGCTAATTAATAAAATATAGTAAATATATAGAGAATTACAAAACTAATAATTATAAGGCTATAGCTTCTAAATATGTAGTATATAGCAGACTATATATAGCTATAAATATAGAATGCTTTATATACTATAATAAGGTTATTAGAATCTAAGGAAGTAGATAACACATTAGCTAGGCTACTTATAATAAAGACACAAAATGGCAAACTGTTATTAATTAATAAACTATATAGAAAGTCACTATAAGCAATATATAATAAAAGATACCAGTTTCCTATTAGTAAATATAAATAGACAATCCTTAATCTAACTCAGCCTTTTTAATAATTAATTTATTAGTTATTTTATAGTAATTATAATTATTAAATTAAGTATTACTAATATTAATAGTAAGCTATATATCCCCTAATATCAGTATTAGACTATTATAACGCTATTTATTTAATAAAAGGGACTAATGCATTATACATTTTAGTTATTATTATATATTTATAAAAATGTTTTATTTGTATAATTCTATATATAATTGTTAAATATAACTGTAGAAGTTATTACTATTTTAATCGGATACTTTTTCATTATGTCAATCTATATCCTAAGCTGTAGCTAATATGCCTTTTCTAAGCAGGACTTAGAGAAGTCAATTACTTCTAGACTTACAGTGTTAAATAACACTATTTATAAAGCTAAAAAGAAGTATAAAAGAAACCTCTTTATTATAATAAAAAGCAACTTTAATTGCTACAACTTAATATAAAAAGGGATTAATATACTATAATTATAATACAAAGGAGAAAATAAGCTAGTACTTTAATAGATATATTAATATAATACTTTCTCAGCTTTATTAAATAATATTATTATATTTTTTTAAAAACGCTTTAAAATAACTATTAACCTTATGCTAGTATTTAATACGCTTAAAAACCAAGTTACTAAATACAATATTCACCTAACCTAATATAAATTAGACTATAAAGCTATAATGCTTCAAATTGAAAAAACTATAATAGCTACTTTATTAAAAACCAAATATAACTTTAGAAAAACGGATTAGGATAAAGCTATTAAAGCACTTAAAGGGTAGGAACTATTAATTGTTAATATTAATAGTACTACTAAGCTTAATTAAGCAGTTATAAAGATTTAGAATATAGTAAGCTAGTATATTTGAGACTATAGCCTAGTTATTAAGGAATCCCTATATATAAAAGCATAATAGGATAATAAGCTTACTAAGCTTTGCAATAAATATATTTGACAATAAAATTAGAACAATATATTATAGATTATAAAGCAGGACAGAGAAGAAAGTCGCTATAAAGCTAAATAAGCTAAGCATTAGTTTTATAAAAGCATTTATAACAAAAAGCAACTATATTAAAACAACTTTTTAGCATAAATAGACAATATCTGGAAAGTAGTTAGGTACCTTAACCTATAATTATTAGCATTTAGCAACATCCGTATTATAGTTACTAATATTAATAATTAAGAGGTGGAGCTTAAAAGCGACAATATTAAAGTAATTAAGCTGCTTTAATGCTTCTTTCTATTAATTCTAAAAAGCTAAAAAGAGAATACGCTAAATCCTAATATAAGAAATATAAATAATCCAGATATCTTAGTTAAAAAGGTAACTAAAAGCAATAGCTAAGATCAGTTTATATAAAGCGCTAAGTATAAACAGTATTCTAAATATTACGTAGAAACGTTTATAATCCATTTTAAACAATTAAGTCACTAATATCTTTAACGTATTGTACTAACTAGAATATATACTAGCTACATAGAAGGTAGCGTAAATCCTACTATTACAGAAACTAGGGAAACCTGATTACTAAATAGTAAAAGCATACTATTCTATCTTTTTCTTAGCTATATTAAGCAAATTAATAGAACTAATACTAGTAAGAAGAATATTATACTAAATAGAAACTTTCAACCTCCTTTTAAAAACATAATTTAATGCTAAGCTATAAAAAGTATATAATTAAGCGCTACTCCTTTTAATTAAAAAAATCTATAAAGCATAGCAATAAAAGAAAATCCTTTCCCTTATTAGTTTCAATATAAAAGGAGCATATAATAGCATCCCTTAATAAATGCTTACTAGTCAGCTATATATAAAAGGAATACTAGCTTATATAACAATATAGGTTAACTCTTTTTATATAAATTGACTTGCTATAGTATTTATTAATAGGATAGAATTAAGCTGAGTCACCTTTACGGAGTCTAGTCTTCTATAAGGATCCACACTTTCCCTAATTTTGTATATCTTCTTTAACGCCTTTTTAATAAAAGAGAAGATTAATAAGAGATAAGGCAATATAGGGTTTATAAATAATTATATATATTAAGCTATTTTAAAGTTAATTAAGAGAAATATATTAATGCTTAATAATAAGGTAGTCCTAAAGGCTCTTTAATAAGCAAAAGATAGTAGCGCTATATTTAAAAGCAATAAAATAATCCTTATATATTTTATATAAAATCAGAAAAAGATTAGCAAAAATAACTCTTTATTAAAAATAGGCAATTATATTATTAAGCTCTTAATAAAAAAGAGAATTTTAGAAGTTATTTTTAATTCTGAACTGTAATTTAAGAACTACTTAGCTAAAGTTAAAGTAAGAGGATAGAGAAGCGCTAGCTAGCTTAAACGCCTTGCTTATATTAGCCTATAAGCAGCATAGCAACTGTATTAAGCTATTATAGCTTTAAAAACAGATTATATAGTAGTAATATAGTATTCCTGTTCCCTTAATAGAAAGATTAATAACAACATTGCTAAAATCCTCAATCCTATATAGCAGATAGAAGCTTAAGCAGTAGCTAAATGTTTCTATATAACCTTAGTTAAAGCGTCTAATATAGAGGCATTACTCCCTTTTCTATATGTCCAACTGTAGCTAAAGATTAGCAAATTCTAAATAGGACTCTATATATTATTAGAATCTAATTTAGTAAAAGCATAGCTTAAAAAAATAGTTAAGAAGCTTAGAGCAAAGTTGTTCACTTCCTCTCTTTATAATATGGAAATGCAGTTAGATAAAATAAGAACAAATATTGAAACTGTCCTAGTATAGATAGCCCTACTATAGAGTATAATAATAATTAACTACGAATCCGATTAATATAGTTCTAAGGAAGCATATAATAACTACTTCAAAATAAAGGAACAATATTTGAACATTTTCACTAACAGCTCTATTGCTAATAGACAGGTAGAGGTTAGGATAGCAGTATACTCCTAGAAGTTTATATTACTGTCCACCCTCTTTTAATAAATTTAAAAAAGAGGTAGCATTAATAATACAATAATAGAACTAGTTGTAATTAAAAAAGCCGTAATTCTAGCTAGAATTCTATTAGAAATACTCTATAATTATAAAAGGGCAGTCCCTTTAGTGTCAATATAATCTAATAG